ATCAATAAAATATTTTATGCATCCTGCAATCCTTTGATGACTGAATTAGCTAAATGAGATTGAAATAAGGAGTGATTTATAACAGGCTGTAATGAGAAATGAGTTCAACTGCCTTCCAAACAATTGACAGGGAATAGATTAGTTTTAGCAATGTAGTGATTTAAAGGAATGGAGAAGGGAAAGCATTCCCCTTTGATCTCAGTGAGAGCAAAGTTTCTTTAGACATGATCCGATCCCAACAAATACGCAGCAAAAGGTTCATGTAATGGTGCTTTTTTCACCCCCTTCACAAAACAAGAGCTAGTCCAAACTAAGTTACTGAGGTTTGTATTGGAAGTCTCTCTTCCCACTGCTACACAGCCTGCAAAATAGGAAACTTCCCTAGACTTCCAGAGAATAATGACAAATTATTGCGAACTTGAGTTTATAATACAGGAATAAAAAGTACACCTTAACTTTCATGGGAATCACTGTAGATCAGAGCTATTTTCTTCACGAACCCTATAAAAGACAAATATTTGTATTCAGATGTCACACTCGCTCATGGCCTTAATGTCAGGTGTTTATTCTGTAAACATCCATAAACGATCCAGCAAAGCTGGAAGCACTTGCCCAGCTTTATCATTGTGAATCATTTCATCTAAGTCAAACTACTCCCAGCAGCAAGGCCAACCAAGTAGCCACCTGAGTGTACTTGGGAAGGGAGGCGATGGGCCAGACCCAAAGAGGAGGCAGGCGAGGCTGAACTGAGCCCTGGGAAACGAGGTTCTGACCAAACCAGGTATGGCACAGCACGGGTATTCAAAGCACACTCCTTCATTTCACCTCCTGTGATCACAGTCCTGCAGACACTTCTGCCTACATGCAGACTCCCAACCATGGTGGGATAAAGTACCTGGAGAACTGGCAGCTTAATTTACCCCTCCGTGGCCTCGCCCTGCTTGCAGAACACCTGGCTCTCTCTCTGCATGTGAAGTGGATGTAAAACAGTACCCTCCAGGTTTGGAGGGTGCAGATTGTGAGCGCAAGCAGGTCTGGGTAAAGGAAAATCAAAGCGGTGATTTATTTGGATCAGGGCAGCCTGCTATGAACCTAATGCGGCTGCTCACGTAACCTGGGTAAGCAGCAGACTTCAGACCTGTACTGTGAAGAAAACACTTTTTATTACTAGTGATTCACTTTCATTTCACACAAAAAACTCCAGAGCGACTATCCGCTAATGGCTAATCATCTGCCCGTCTATGGCCCAGGATTACTTTTTCCCTGCCCCACCTGCTGGCACCGCTGCAGCGGGATGAGTCAGGGATGCTTTCACAGCGGTATGTGGAACAGTAACGCGTACAAGCCTCTGCACTGTTTACAGGATCACTGCCTCTGACTTTTCCCATACTAGGTGACAGAAAGACCCTTCTCGCACCGGTGAGAAGCGAGCGTTGATCTGACACTAACTACTGACAGGCTGCAAAAATATTGATAGTGCATTTAGCAACACTGCCCCAAATCTTTGCAAACGAGAGCTTAGACTCTCCAATTATTTTCTCCCATTATATTGCCTCATTCTGCTATGTATATTAATTGGCTGTTTTGGTTTACTATTTAGCAGCTGGCTTTCTTTTAAGCTAAAGCTCATTCCCCTTAACTGTGTGCTTCCACAGATTCTGCTCTGCCAAAAGGTTAAACAGATCTCATTACCCATTTCCTGCAGAGACCTAATTTCGACAAAAGGCCTTGAGCAGGGCAGTATGATTGGCAAGAAGGAGAATAAGATTACAAGAAACTGTTTTCACAGTTAGCCAAATACCGAGAAGCACAGAGACCATTTGAAACGATGCCCCGCGTGGGTCTCAGCAGCTGGGCGGAACATTCGGCCTCTTTTGGTTTGCGATTATTCTTGCATCTGCCCCTTTCACGCAGCATCCTCAAATGGCGTCCCCCAATCTGCCAACATGTTAAGCAGCTCAGGACAAAAGATGGTACAAGTCAAACTTTGCCTCCAATTCTCCTGAATCCTTATATGCTGTTCAGTGATGCCTATTAAATGGCAAGGCAGCCCCTGCTGTAGTCCTGACAGGGAGCAGGCCAGAAGAGGAGGCAATCTCCCCCTCCCCTACCATCTCCTGGGCAGGCCTGGTTCACTCCTTGTAGAAGACAGACATTGCTACTACCCAGGGGCGCCCTAAGTGTCATCCACAGGCACGAGGTATCTGGCTCACCGCAGCTGAGCAGCTTGGGGCAACCAGTTGCCCATACACAGCCCTGGTCCTCGTCAGGAGCTCGGTCCTCTTGGTGGTCCCAGAGCCCACAAAACCCATTAGACTCTGTACAAAAGGGGAAGGCAGCTGTGGGGTTTTTTTTTAAGACCCTACTGGAAAAGAAGACTGTGATGGAAACAGCTCAAATTCCCACCTGCCCCTTTTATTTATCCACATGCCAAGGGCATCAGAGATTCAATTCAATTCTCATTTCTGCCTGAGGGCCTGAAATGTGCACCAAGGCAGTGCCTCATTCACCAGGCATGAGCCCTCCTGGGGAGGGGACACCAGCCCATCTAAGATGGCTTACTTTGCAGATTAGGGAACAAGAATCACTGTGCTAGTGTGGACAGGAGCAAGCAGGAAGCTTTTGAGGAAGACTTGCAGTTTCTGGAGTAGAGGATTGTGCAACCCCCTTCCAGGAGGGGGTTCAAGCCACATACTCTAAGCTGGGAGCCACTGGCTAAGACTAGTCACAAGACGCACTCTGTCTTTCAGCTTTCTCTGTTGATTAGCTCCAGCACGTCTATGGTTAGTACCCTAGGGCTGTCTGTCTGTATTTGAAAGGCCAGTTCTCCTAATTGAACAACAAGCTTTGGATCAAGCTCTGGACAACAGACTCCTCTGTCTGTAGTTATTCCAGCTCAAGGTCTTGCTGCCTGTGCTGTCCTGTGCAGGATGCAAAGAACAGAGGGCTGCCATGGAGCCAGTCAAGCACTGGGACAATATGAGGAGTCTTCATCCCTAGATGTTTCCAAGATCCCACAGGACAGAGCCCTCAGCAACCCCATCCAAATGCAGTGGTCATCCTGCTTTGAGTTCTTCTCCTGCTGTGGTCTGTGAATCATCAATGGTCTACAAGATAGTGAAAGGGCAGCTGCAACATTATTGCTACTCTGCCTCCACAGAGGCACTGAAGTGGGAGACAGTAAAAGAGGAAATAATATAAGTAAAATAGTATCCAAAGCATTACCTACTTTTTAAATTAGATTTCAAATTGAAGTTGTCACAGCAACTATACAAGATGGATTGCAGATTCCACCTTCCCTTCTTAGAAGGTTCAATAAAGTTTAAATTGAAAACAAGTTAGGAAAAGTATGGCAGCTGTGTCTGCATCAGCAATCCAGACAGCTCAACAGCAGCAGATCTAGAAGGAGAGGCTTAGGATGTGACGTCCACTCTAAACACATTTCAGAGAGCCTTATTTGAGGTTAGCTTTAGCCTAGCTCTTTGGACTGACTTTCCCTTTGCGGGCTGCTCCTCTAGTTTGCTCCAAAAGGAACCCAGTCCATGTGCTCAGAGGTCACTCCAAAGCACAATTAAATGAGAACAAGCAAAAGATAAGCAAAATATGCAGTGCAGGCTTCTATGGGGAGAGAGTTGTCCCCTTCCTAGATTGTAAGAAGTTGCAGGTAAGTACAAAAAGCATCAGGCCTGATAGCATTTTGGATAGTCCAGTGCCAAAAGAAGTGTGGTGCTATGTACAATAATGATATTCAGGATTTATCAGCTTGTATTCTGCTGCATTTGGCTCACTTGCACAGTGTTAGTGTTTTAGCTGTTTTGCCAAAAAACACAAAAGAGAAAAGAAAGGAGACTTAAGTGACACTCAAACCCACCATTCAGATCTCAAAGAGGAAGCTCTCCATCAGGATCTTACAACTGCACCTGAAGTTTAAGGAATAGTTATTTGTTGTTTGAACTACACACTGATTTGACTGCAGAGACAGAGTGCAGGAAACATGCTTCGAAGTCGCTAAGAACTAATACAAAACTAAAAAAAAAATTGCTGCTTATTGAGTGTTGCATTCTGTACCATCCACCCACAGAATCCATCAGCAATGTTACAAAATGTCCTTGGGGCAGCCTTGTTAGCAAAAGCTCTTGGAGCTTGTTAGCCCATGTAGACAAATTGAAAGTGTAGGTGGACATTAAATCCAACCCAAAATAAGCAAGCACCTCTAAGCGTCAGCAGATTTATAATTAAGGTGGTATTTCAGTTCGTTCTCAAAGGCCTCTATTATTATTATTGTACCTAGAAGATGGAAGACTTTAATAAAGAAAGATGTCAGGTCTTCAAACATCATTTTCCCTCCCATTTGGCAATGGCACTACTGTAGTAACAGACTTCTGACTTTGTGGAAGACGTCAGCAGTTTCACATTTGAGCACCACCATCTCGAATTTTCTTTCCCAATTAACAGATCAGATGGTGCAGGAAGCTCAGCCCCTGTGAAAGGGGGTCCTGGACTCTGCAGGTCCCAGGAGATGCTGGCTGTCACCAAGGCCTCTCTCAAGATGTCTGGGGTGCCAGCTGACAGCCTTGTGCCAGCACACCTTTGCAAAGGCCACACAACTCCTTCAGCAGCACCCACATCATGGGTCACCTCCCCTAGCTCTCCACGCAGTCCAGGCTGTCGGACATCTGCGCACAATGGGCTAAGAGGAGGCCCAACTAAGGGCTGTAACCAGTTGTTTAAGACCAGCTATTTAGATTCGATTTACACAAGTTAAGCTTGTCAAAACCAGTGCACTTAAGGCTACTTCATATTTCAGGTTTCTTTTAAAGAAGTTAGCAATTTACCAAGAAAATAACAAGAGACCTCTGTTTCTATGGATGTCTATATTTTAAAACTTTGAGTAATATTTACTCACGCTTCATAATATAAAATGTCTTTCAGGATCTTAAGTGAAGCTGCAATAAGTTGGTTTTGGTTTGGTTTTTTTTTTCCCCCCAAGAAACTTTTACAGTTTCTAAAAGTTTCTAGACAAACAGCTGTCTTGAAATACTGCCCTTCTGGGGCTCAGCGAGATCTTGATGAGCATCTCCAGCGCTCTAGGTGGGAACACTGGCTGCAAGCATACTGTATCAATCTTGATGCCGATGCAGGAGTTAGTCATCCTCTGAGTCACTCTCCCCACTGGCTGGGACACACGCCCTGATTGAGGACATGAGCTGGTCCTGGATCTGCTTCCTGGGGTTCTCCTCGAGGTCTGTCTTGATGGCGCCCGACTCGGAAATCTTCCACTCCAATTCTGTGCAAAGCAAAACAAGAGAGCCATGAATGCAGGAGAGCAAACTGGAAAAAGCCCACCCTTGCTTCCCCAGCTGACTTCTCTTATCACCCTGCCATCACCACCACCAAAACCAGGGCCCTGCTCTATTCCTCCCCCTCCTCTTCCACATCCTGCCCCATCTCCCACGCCCCCTCCAGCCAAGCCCTCCCTTCACAGCCACTAGCTCTGGCACCAGTTTCAGCACAGGATGCAGAGCTCAGGGTACTGCTCTGCAGCCCACCGGTGGCATCTCTGCTCCCTCTACATCTGGGAGTGTAAAAGAGGCGATTGATACAGAGCAGCAGCTTTAGACAAGGCAGCCCTCCTGGTGAGAGCGAATCCCACCTCTGTCGAACCACAGAAAACAGGTTTGCACATTTACTGCTGGTGAAGGAATACTGCTCACGTGTTACAGCTGTTTGCATCATACGCCAAGTTAATCACAGTCAGAAGAGGCAGTGAATCAATTTGCTGGGGGGCAAAAAAAATTATAGCAATTCCATTTACACATCTGAATTATAGGTATTTTTCAGGGATGTACTTTATAAACGCAATTCACCTCTTTCCCACTACACCATGCACTGATTATTAGTTCCTTAGCAAGACAGTAAGAGAGACTCCACCACCAGTAGTAGGCCTATTACTATATAGACCCAAATTGGATTCCTTCCCAGAAGTGGTAAAAGTCAATACAACACATTCAGTTGAAACCTTTCTCCTAGTCCTGCTGGCAACCCTATCATTAAATCTAATTTCCTTCAGACATTACAGAGTAATGAATACCACCTCACACTTTCTTTAATCTCCAGTGGAAGTCGCCTAGGATTAAGGGAGAATGAAGGAATAAAAGAAAGTGCAGAATTTCAGTGCCCAGCTTTCTGTGATGACTGAATTAAGCCGGCTCAGCCACCTTTGGACCCCCCCTCCCCCCCAAATCAATTATTTATGTGCTAACAATGGGAAAAAGCTAACTGTAGGTTCTGCTACCACTGCTCACTTCAGTGCCTAATTAGGCAACTGCTGTAGTTAAGAGTGAGCTGTTCTCAAATCAGCGATCTCATTGGTGAGCTTTTCCCCTTCTGACAGTTGAAGGCAGGGGAGCTTTTTTTTTTTTTTTTACAGCACAGCTCAAGATATCCTGTAAACTTCAGGGTTTTAGTTAAAAAAAAAAAAAAAAAAAAAAGCCACCAACCTCTTTGCATCCTATCCCAGTACAGGCAGTGACACCATTCAGCAGGGACCTTGAAATGCTGCTTAACTGTGGTCCACTTCAGATAAAGATGCCCTTAAAGTCTGACCTTGAAAAAGCTTGAAGGCATCTGGACCAATATGCCTACTCAGAAAGCTGATAAGTATCCTTTTAACTGAAGTAAAATCCACTAGGTGACATGCGAGTTGCAAGAAGAGCCTTTTTCACTCCTAACCTCTGTCTTCAAGCACTGCTGTAGGATACCATCCCCGACCAACCACCTCCAAACAGCAGCTTTTACTGAAGAGCCACAGTGCTCTGTGAGACCTGCATCCCCACCCTCATCTCCTGAGGCACATCACGCTGACGAGGCTGCACGACCCAGCCTGCCAAGATGGGCAAGGAGAAATGGGTCTATGGGAAAACTGTGACCTCCAGAAAAGGAAACAGCCTTTCCCCGTGGAGCCCTGTGCCCCCTGAACCACTTGAGGCAGCAGCTTAATGTGCTCCCATCTCCAGGAGACAGCAAGAGAAAAAGGAAGCAGCCCAATTTCAGGCTAGCAGCCCCATTTGGGCAAAGGAATGGGCTCTCTTTAAAGGTTAATAAGGAGTGAAGCCTGTGCGTCAGGAAGGTACAACAGACCAATATGTGCCATTGGCTTGAAAAATGAAACAAGAAGCCCTACAATGTAATAGGCAAGCACCAGTTATCAAGTGCAAGGTTTATCAACTAACCAGGGGCACAGTCAGTCACTGAAGTACAAGAGCCCCAAAGAATGTGCGTGGGTACTATTTACCCTGTAATATACTCAGGAAAATTTGTTTCACCCAACACAGGGTGTGAATACTTGCACACACATAAGTATCTATATGTTGGCCTACTCAGCCACTCATTGCTTTTACAAGATAGCCTTAATCACATGTTGTTGAGCCGTAAGGGTAAAAAAAAAAACAAACAAAAAAAAAACCAAACCCCAAAAAACCTAATATGATTTTTAGTACCTCCCTTCTCCTAAGCCTCAATTCTCTCATTCCCAGCAAAGCAGTTTTGCTTTTCCTTTGGAAGACCAGAGATGCAGACTCACCATCCCTTGTCAGGTTCATGCCACCGAACACCAAAGGCCCAATGAACTGAGCTTTGATGTCTCCCTCCAGGTAGACGAATATTGTAGGCAGGTTCTTGTCGGGGTAGTTGGGAATGCAGGTCGTAGAGATAGCTTTGATGAATTTCACATCTCTGAACTTCCTTGCAAGCCCGCTCATATGTTGATTTATTAAGGCACAGAGTGGAATTCTGTAAAGAACAGCACCAGACACACATAAGGAAAAAATAAAAGACAAATTAGACAGTAATCTGCTCCAGAAGAAAGGTCAGAAATATCAGCTCGATGGGTAGCATTTATTGAAAGACAAATGTACCAGAAGCCATTTCTGAAAACTCCTGTTGTCCGCTATTCCAGCATTCAAAGGAAATCAGCATCACTGGAGGTTGTGGTGGGTTTTTTGTTTTAAGATATTGGCAATACAACCTTCCCCTCTATCATACAGAGAAATTGGTTTATGAAGATATGATATTTAGAAATTGCATGAGCAAGGGCAAAATAGAAAGAAAAGCAGCTCCTGGAAGAAAGTAGGCAAATGACGATGAGCACCTGTGAGGCAATTAGAGACAATGAACCAAATCAAGTATTTCTAACCCTTTCTAGAAAATTCTAGCAATTTATCAGACCTATCAGACCATGCTGACAGGACTGGAAACCTTGTACACTCCATTTTTATGAGTCTAGAAACCAGGCTAAAGACACACAGTGATCCTTCTAATGCACAGTTCCTCACACTTTATCCAGAAAAACTTCCAAAGTTTGGATATTTCAGTGGCAGCTGTATGGTACAAGTCACACTGTGCTGTACAGACGTACAAAAAAGCCACTTCACGGTAACATTGTTTTAGAGCTAAGTTCAGCAGTCTTGAGTCAACAGTAATGAAATTACTAAATCAATTTTTTTTTATTTCTTAGAATTCCAGAATCAGTCCCTTAATTTCCACAATAACTACACATTTGGCTGGAGTCTTTTCAGCTATTGACAGTGAAAGGTTTAAAGGTCAAAACCAAATTCTTACCCTTGTTTGTAGAGGTGCAGAACTACCCATATACCTTTTCCAGCTTTTGTAACCTCTTGAATGTAATCTTTTCCCGAAATCTCCAAAACTTCCCCAAATTTATTCTTCATTTGAGCTGCTTTCATTTCTGCTAATCTTTGCTGCCTGAACAACAAGGAATGGGAAAGAGATCTTGAGAACACATGCATTTTTGACAGAACAACACTTAAAGGAGCTGGTTGAAACCTAGATTTCAGAGGCACATTACAAACTTCTTCAAACCCCTGAGTAATGAAAGCAGGCTGACATATTGAATAGATGCTCTTATATTTGCATCACAAGTTAAAACCATCAACATGCAGGTACAAGTATGCTTCATGAATTCCCCCCCTCCCCCCATTTCTGCCCTCAGCAGACATTTCTTCTGCAGATACTACACTACCAAACTAAATGGCAAAAACCATGGGAGATGGTAGAGATAAAGAGATAATGAAAAACCAACACTGTAATTATGTAAATCTGCAGCACCTTAATCTCATTCATGCAAAGATTGAGAAATCTTTGAGGTGATTTTCAGAGCTCTCAGAATCCCCAGCCATGCACTCAGCAGGTGCACATTATCTCTGCAAAACTAGGTTGTAGATAAAGGACACTGAATTTAAACCCAGTTATCCTATTAAAGACACTTAGAAGACTTACAAGACACCAGAAACACAACCCACTTTTTCTATCACCAGGCCTAACAGCATCCTTCCTCTCTTCAAGAACAGCTAACACCATATAAAAGAAAAAACTTTAATTTTCATTAAAGCCAAATTCTGCATGCTGCTCTGACCTGTACATTTCAATAGCTTTCTCATCTTCCTCATTAAATTCATCTTCATTCTCTTCTAGCTCTTCCAGAGTCATGTCCTCGTAAGTTTTCACTAGAATGGAAGAAACATCAAATCAGCAAAATCCTCGTTCCAGAATTAAAACTCATCAGCTTTTATCAGTCTAACAAAACTTATTTACTTTAAGGACAGGTTAACTACAGGAAATAAGGGGTTTTTGAAGTATTATTGTTACTGGATTTTTAGAAATTATTATGCACTTTAGACATAGATTGAAAGACATCGATGTAAAGGGCTCTGAGCTGAGGGCTGCCTAGACTAGCACACAAGTACCTGCACTAGCTCTCCAGTTTGGTGGCTGTAGCAAAGATGTACCTAACATACACAGAACATGGCAGGGATGCCTGAACAATGGAGGAAGGAGGAAGCATACAACAGGCAACGTCATGAGATACTTTTACTTGCACGTTCACATGGCAGACTCCCTTTGCACTGTTCTTATTTCAGTTTTCAAACATTTACTTCTCTAACACAGAGCCGACATAAAGAACAAAACTTTCCTGTGCTGGAAGAATCCACGTGTTCAGGAACGTATTTGTTTGACACTGTTAACAGATGACTGACCACCTTATATGAGAAGAAGCTTTGGTATCCCTCACAGACTTGGAAAAAGGATACATTGCTTTACAGGCAAATAATCACTACTGCTGGCCATTTCCTTGTACAAGCTTCTTCCAGGAGCCATTCCAAGACTTGTCCTGCCACTGCTGCCCGAGTTGGCTGGTCACTCACCAAGAGACTTCTGAAGGATGGCAAGCTGCTCCTCTTCCTTTGCGCGCTCCTGTTCCTCCAGATTTTCCTTTGGAGGAAGGATACCTTTCTTGCGCAGGATGTCATTCCACTCCGTGTCTTTATTTGGGTCCTAGAACAGAACAAGAAATGGATGATGTGCATTGAAGGTAAACTTTACCGCTTCCAAAACATAACACAGGCAAGTTTTTCCAAGAGGCACAGCATATTGTTAAACTGGTAAATGTCTGGATAGTGCCAGAAAGTCACAACATGCATCCTTCTGATGCTGAGACTTCTTTGCAGCCCCAGACCAGTACCCTGAAGAGTGACTTTATTTTATTCCATCCCACTCATAGCATGTACAGGAGGTCTTGGTAAGGTACAAAAGTTTGAGGCATTGTAACCACCGTTGCAGCTCTCACAAGGTAAAAGGAAAGGGGAGGAAATCAGCTGGGTAACAGGGAAGCACGCTGGCCACAGTGCTCACGTCCAGAGCCTCAGCGGAACAAGAGGCCACCAAAACAGCGGTCATTGCATCGGGAAGCACTGGTGAGAAGACACAGAGGAGCCAGCCGTGCAGGCCTAACTCGGGATGTATAGGAAGTCTCCTTGGTAGATTCAAGTCAGCATGACTACACAAGTGCTTAGAGGGAAGCAAGCACAGTCTGCCAGACAAGCCCATTGCTAGGGAATCAGATCTAAATCTATGCCTAGACTGTTCCTGAAAGTTAAAAAGAGACTTTACTGTGATAAAGTCACAATAATGCCACAAAACAAGGCCAACAGGCACCCATGTATCGTTGAGAAGCTCAGTATAAGTTTTGCCAAGTTAGATAGCAATTTTATCTTTTTAAATACATGAAAATTCAGTGATAAGCACTCACAGGCTGATTTTAGTTCCTTTCCATCTTGACTGAGGTTCACTTTGAAAACTGAATACAACACCTACTGCTTCACTACAGCTTGTATCAACATAGCTTACACTAAGTCTTTTCAAGACCATCGCTCTTCTCTAGACCAAGACACCGTACTTCTGGACT